GCATCATTTGCTACACAAAGTTCACTTTGCATGAAGAATGCAAAATGCGAATATCCTCTGCCTGTGAGGCATAGTTGTTGTTAGAGTTATATTGCATTTTCCTCCCATTTCCATTTAACTTCCTATTTTGAAATGGACGACGCATGCTCTACAGGTATTTCACAAAGTCAGAATACATCACACCATAGTTTCCAATCATTTTAATGACATCACAGTTTTGAAAGGTCTTTCCATTTTGTGATAGTCTTGCACGCAGACTGTGAGAAGCAGTTGCTTCGGCGGCCATTGGACGGTAATGTTTGAATCATCTAAAAGAGTTTTTGAAACAAGTCAGTCATTCTACTACGATATTAAAATTTCTATATTACAAGGAAATTTGGCAACAAGTTGTATCACTTTATTCCTGGTGCTGATATTAGAATTTTCGCTTCCTCAAGAATTTCGCTAAATACGGATAACTCCAACCAGTAAAAAAGAATGTTCGGAAACCATGCCCTGCATATTTGGCAATTATATGCAACTCCTAACACCTCTGTCTGTTCGATTGTTTAAATAACCTGCAGTCCCCTGCTAATGCCGACACAGTTTCCTCTATGCTTCGTTTGCCATTCCGCACACTTTCTGACGCTGTATTACTCAAATAATGATGCTGATAGGTTGCACCGAACCTTTTTAGGGTGTAAAGGAGTTTACATTGTCCTTTTCAGTTGTTGTTTTGAATCAAGAATCGAGAACCGATTATCATTAATTTAAATTGATATTCCTTTGTGAATAATCGAAGAAACAAACGAAGCATTTCTGTCTCACAACAGTAATTAACTATGTACCTTTTGTTTGAAGCATTTTTTTTATCGTTTTCCAAAAGGAAAAATTAAGTGGTGGAATTTTACAGAAGATGAATGCGCGTGCACAGCGCAATGGTGTGCTAAAAATATATGCTTATGTCATTTTGAGATATCCTGCGCGACCAATTTATACTATCAAAAGTTTTGAAAGTTTTTATTTTAATATGTTAACCGTGTGGTAAACTGTGTATTATTTATGCAGTTATTTGTATCATTTTTTACCATAATCTTGTGCTCGAGTCTGTGTATCTTTCGAAAAAAAATGTTGAAGGGTTGACCGATGAGTGAAAATTCACGGCAGATTGCTTGCTCGATTTCCGATGGTAAGGCTAAGAACTTACTTCGGTGATAATTTATTAAATTGTTGAATATATTTTTTTGGTGAATGTGCCAACATGAATATTTCTGTGGCTGCAGAAATACTAGTATATATCCTAGTATTGTAGTGTAATGGCACAGTGCTTAAGATGTCAGCTTCGAACTCCAAATTCCGGGATCGATTCCGCCCAAGATTAGTCTTTGTCTTGAGCAAGAAATCCTTTGAGAAACGAATTTACCACATTTCTTCAAACCGTGGCTACTCAGTACGTGAATCGTCCTACTTAGAACCGAGAGGTTCTGGGGTTGATCTTCGATCTCAGTCACTCGTCTTTATTCCTTACTAGGTTAACAGATGAGTGCCTTTCTGTAGGAAATATTCACGGCGGACCACAAACTATTCTTGCCACATAACTATTGTTGATTATCCTTTTAAAAATAAGACATTCCTGACTGATGACATTAAAAGAAAAGTTGCCAGAAATGATTAAATAATGGAGTCTGAGGATAATCGACGACCCTGGTGTATATGCTTGCTCATAAGTCTAGATGATCCTACTCTCCTCCAGGGGTAGACCGCGAATCTAATGGTTCCACTATAAACACCTATCACCTCTGCAAATCCTGATCATTGAGCATGTCTGTTTTTGGGCCTACTGAAACTATGGTAAGGCCTCCAGATGCATCTGCCTCCTCCCCCTCCCACCACCACCACAACGGAAAAATGTAACATAATAACAGAAGCACTTATGGCATTACTTGCGTCTTATTCTATATCTTATGTATTTTCTTCTATCTTACTATGTCTGTAAAAAACTTGTTATGAGTTAAAGAGTCGATGATATTCGCTTTTAAATGCTTAAATCTTAGGCGAACAATGCATGTTGCCACTCCTTTATGTCCTTCAAACTGCACTGTCTACGGGGAAAATACCAGTATGCTTGAGAAGGGGATTTTAGTTGCCGTATGATGTCGAGTGCTCATATTTTTCAAGCCTTTTAGGGGAAGTTTTCTCCCTGGTGTTGAAAAGTATTTGCCCTGGAGTAACTGGCTATAAGATACTAGTATAGCAGTGTGAGTTCACGTTAGGCTGAATCACCTCTTGGATCACACAGATTTTCACCTTACGCCAGTTTTTTGTGAAATCGTGGGAGTTCGCACATCCGGTTTACATCTGCTTAGTGGACCTGGAGATCTGGTTTCGGAGCAAGAAGGCCTTTCGCATTTTTTTGTGGAGCCGTAAGACCATCGACTGCTGCAAACCGCGAACCACATTCACGAAACTTCACAGCCAGCCTCCTCTGAAGAAAGTGCGTAAGACACGGTCCGAAATATCGGTACTGAACAGTCAACGTCTTTTACGTTGTGTATAAGTAAACCATGTTTTACGCTATTGTAAATAAAAATCGCTATATAACTGTTATATAACAATTAATATATGGCTAGTATGGTTAGCATCGTATTTACGCTTGCATGGTTAGATGTAGACCGTCGTTAAGTATCATATGCGTTAGCATATAAGGAGTACCAGCTCTTGAATTATTCTAATAAGCGCGAAATTACTCTAGCAGAGTAAATGATGCAGGATGCATCTGGCATTGCAGGTACTCAAATGCAATGAAGCCATGACCTGCTTAAATGCTCCTAAATAGCTATGAGCAAGGGGGCAACGCAATACTCCGTGAAATGTAGTCTGGGATTAGTCATTCATTATTTTATGATTAAGTATCATACCGTTTGTATATTTATGGTTAAATAATATAGGTGTATAACTGTTTTATGACCATAAACATATTGATATGACTAGTGCAGTACGTACAGTTATATAGTCAGATGTTAACCATCGTTAGACATACTGCTTCCATAAGGTATCACGTCTGTATTTTTAATCTGCGCGCATTCGCTATCTTACTGGTTGGGTTATTACTGTTTATAGTTATATGTGCCATGCAGGGCATTGTTACGTGCCGTATTTATATATACTTAAATTTTTGTGCCACTTAATTACACAGCTACCTCTATTTTAAAATACGTCACCATTAAGTATATAAATAACGTGGTACTCTCAGTTAAGGTCTTCATCTTCGAGATGAAGCTTGTATATGCAGTATGTACTGCTACAGTAACTGAGTTTTTTGTATATGTATTTGTATTTGTATATATTCAGCTATATGGATAAGTTGGGCACGATATCCTACATTCAAATACAGGCGATACCCTTATTCTGATAAATTCGGCAGAAACACTTTATTTCTAATAGTGCAAAAGTTTCCTACGGGTTTCTTAAATCGATGATTTACTGGTGAGGTACTTATCAATGATTCAGTTGACATATTGCGTTCTTTATGAATAAGCCAAGTTTTCTTCTGTTTTCAACAGATTGCCAGTACGCCAACCAAATACTCAACCTTACAGTATTA